CCAGCTTCTAACTGTTTTGCTTCCTCTTCCTCAATCTACATCTACAGACTCATGTGAAATAACCTTTGACCAGTTAATGGAGAAGAAAAGGAGGGAAAACTGTGGTTTACAAATGGATCTGCATGATATGCTGGCACTAGATTTAAGTAGACAGCCACTGTATTACAACCCCAAACACAGTGGCTTGAAAGGTAGTCAAAACCCGTTGCCATCGAGTCAGTTCCAACTCATAGCGATCCTATAGAACAGAGTAGAACTGCCCTATAAGGTTTCCGAGGAGCAGCTGTTGGATTCGGACTGCAAATCTCTTGTTTAGCAGCCAAGCTCTTAACCACTGCACCACCAGGGCTCCTGAAATGTAGTAACAAAGGGAAATTCTCCTTGAGAGTAACTTCGAGTGATTCATCTGGTTGCTCACGTTGTGAGGAAAAAGAGATGGCCTAAAGCACAAATCTACACTGATTCATGAGCAGTGGTTAGCAGGTTGCCCCTTTAGTGAAGAACTTGGTTGGACCAAAACTGAAGGGTTGGCAACAAAAAGCTTTTGGGGGAAAGTACGTGGATGGAACTCCAGGAATGAGCACAGAAAATGAAGATATCTGTCTCCCATGTGAATATGCACCAAACAGTATCTACTGTAGAGGAAGCTCTCAATTACCAGGTGGATAAGATGATCCATCCTATGGATGTCACTCAGCATCTTTTCCCAATTGCCTCAGTGCTTATTTAGTGGGCTCATGTACAAAGTAACTACGGCATCAGGAATCAGGATGTGCATAAACTCAATAATATGGCTTCTTTTCACCAAGCCTGATCTGGCTATTGCCACTCCTGAGTGTTCAGCCTGCCAGCATAAGTGGTCAGTGTTGAGTTCTCAGTGTGGCACTATTCCCTGGTTGTGGACCATGCAGCCACCTAATGGCAGGTTGGATTACAATGGACGCTTTCTATAATGGAGGGAGTAATAACTGATCTTCATAAGGATTCAGTCATATTCTTGTTATAGATTTGCCTTCCCTGGCCATAATGCTTCTGGCAACACCACCTTTCATTGACTTACAAAATACCTTATCCATCTCTGTGGTATTCCGTAAAACATTACCTCCAGCCATGCTCACATTTTATGGAATTCATCATCTTACCACATGCCCCATCTCCCAGAATAAATGGTTTGATAGAAGGATGGAATAGGCTGCTAAAGGCTCATCTTTATCCTTTTGAGGTGATAGTGATATCCTACCAGACACAAAATATCGGTAGTGTGACCCCCTCCACCAATAGCCTGAATGTACAAATCCGGGAATCAACGGAATAGAAGTGAAATGGCTCCTATGACCATTACATCAAATCATCCACTGAAGGAATTTTTGCTTTGTATCCCCACAGCTTTGGGCCCAATGGGCTTGGAGGTCCTGGTGTGTCAGTGGGTTTGAAGGAGTGCTTCTATCAGGAATGCAGTTATGGTTCTACTAATTTAGAAGCTGAGACTACCCCCTGGCTGTTTTGGCCTTCTTGCATTAATGAATCAACAGGCAAAGAAGGGATCACTGTACAGCTGGAGTGATTTATCATGGTTTCCCAGGAAATTATATTGCTGATACTCAAAGGAGACAAGGAGGACAACTACGCCTTATACCCTTGGCCAATAGTCCTGGTCAATGAAAAAGTGCAATGACCCAGTAATGACTAGACCACAACAGCTCAGATCCAGCATAAATGAAAAATTGTGTCACACCACCAGTTAAAGAATCCTATCCAGCTGAGATGTTGGCAGAAGGTAAAGGGAAAAAAAGGACAGTAGAAGAAAGAAGCTATGATAATCAATTAAGCCCGCATGACTAGCTATAAAAGCAACAACCGCAGCAGCTATGTTTCATGTTAATTAATTACTTCCTTGATTCTTTTTCCCCTGCTACCTTATATGAACCAGAGCACTAGTGGTGCAGTGGTTAAGCACTAGGTTGCTAACCAAAAGGTAGGTGGTTCAAATCCACCACCTGCTCCATGGGAGAAAGACGTGGCAGTCTGCTTCCATAAAGATTGACAGTCTTGGAAACCCTGTAGGGCAGTTCTACTCTGTCCTATAGGGTTGTATGAGACAAAATAGACTTGATGGCAATGGATTTGGTTTGAGTTCTTGCACTTTATATGCAGACCGTTGGTAGCAGCTAATGTATTAGGTTTCACATGAGGGTATGACTGAAATGATATCACCCCACAATGATATGAGAACTAATGGGACAATTGTGTGTCCTCCAGGTTGCAGGTATGAATTTTTCATTTGGACAAAGGAAAAAAACTGATGTTGATGAACAAAAGCAGTTGACTGGGTTGAATATTTTTCATTTGTCCTTCAAGATCCGTTCTCCACCATTCTCCTCGCTGCTCGATTACTCAGGATACTTAGTTATCTTGTGCTGCTATAACGAAAATACTACAAGTGGATTGGATTAACAAACAGAAATTTATTCTCTCACAGTTTAGGAGGGTAGAAGTCCAAATTCAGGGCACCAGCTCTAGGGGAAGGCTTTCTCTGTGGGCTCTGGGGGAAGGTCCTTGTCTCCTTTCAACATCTGTGGGCGCAGCTTTCCATGGAAATCTCCATGTGTCTTGTCATCAATCTTCCCCTATGTTTAGGACTTTCTCAGTGCAGGGACCCTGGATCCAAAGGACATGCTCCACTCCTGGCTCTTCTTTCTTGGTGGTCCCTCTCTCTTTGCTCTCTTCTCTCTCCTTTTATCTCTTGGAAGATAAAAGGAGATACAGGTCATGCCCCAAGGAAATTTCCCTTATATCAGATCAGGGCTATGACCTGAGGAAGGGTATTGTATCCCACTCTAATCCTCTTTAACATAACCTAATCTTGCCTCATTAACCCCAGGCAGAGATTAGGATTTACAACACATAGGACAATTACATCAGGTCACAAAATGGAGAACCACCATACAATACTGGGACTCATGGCCTAGCCAAGTTGACACATATTTTTGGGAGACACAATTTAATCCATGACAGGAAGCCAACCTTTATGGACTACGTTCACGGGCTCCCTTGCCCTCTGGTTTCCAGTTGGGCTTAGCCAATAAGAGCTACTGACAAGATCCAGTGGCAGAAAGATAATGAGTGTAATAACTCCCCAGCTCCCTTACTGCTGGCTTGCCATGGGTTGGCTATATCCTTCTACCTAAGACCAAGTTCCTGTCTGGCAGATTTCTTCTATATTATTTTCTCCCAGGGTTCCTGTAACTGCTCCCTAATGTTGTTAACTCTGAAACACTACACATCTCTTGGTTTCTCTTAATCGACCCACAACTTTGTAAATAGTCTCTTTATTAAACTCTTCAGTTATCCTTTTTGAGTATGCTGTGTATTTTTTCCAGAACCCTGAATTACGAGTGAAATAGAGAAAAAACACAGGAGATAACAAAAGTGAACAGAGAAAGAAGGAACAAAGGAGTAAGAAGAAAAGTCAGGAATAAACTAGGAAAGAATAAAGGATTATTAAGAAGGAAGAAAAAGATAGAAGATACTGAAAAAAAGTAAAGACACTGACAGTGGCTGACCCAAACCAAACCAAACCCATTGCCGTCGAGTCAATTCCAACTCAGCAATCTTATAGGATAGAGTAGAACTGCCCCATAGGGTTTCCAAGGAGTGGCTGGTAAATTTGAACTGCTGACCTTTTGGTTAGCAGCTGTAACATTTAACCACTGCACCACCAGGGCTCCCTGGCTGACCTAGTACCTTATAAATTAGGTTTAACCAAGAACAACCATTGGGCTTTCTTTTTTTTTTTTTTTTTTTAATTAAACATCTTTAAAAGATTTTTCTCTGTTGCTTTCAGATACAAAAAGCCAGGGCCTCATGACTTCTATTCTATAAAATTTAAACAAAACCTCTAGCCCAGGATTTTTCAACAGTGGCACTATTGACATTTCAGATCAGGAACAATCTTTATTGTAGGGACTGTGCAATGTAGGATGTTGAGCAGCATTGCTGCCTCTATTCACTAGAGCGAGTACTATTCCTCCCCTCTCCTCACCAGTCGACAACCAAAAATATCACCAGACGTAGCCAAATATTCCCTGAGGGCAGGGTTGCCAGATAAAATATTGCACGGGACATTCTTATACTAAAAACTTTATGCTTTGTTTATCTGAAATTCAAATTTCACTAGGCCTCCTGTATTTTTATTTGCTAAACATGGCAACCCTACCTGAGGGACAAAATCACACCTTCCTCTCCCACCTCCCAGACCGTTTGAGAACCCCTGTTCTATCTAGTCCTTGAGGAGCAATGGAGAAAAGGTGTGGTGATGGGGGTGGGGAATGTTATGATCAGATTTGCATTTTCAGCAAAACAGTATAAAACGTTTGAGCCCCACTCACAAGCCAGGACTGGTACAGTTACATCATCCTTTTTGCACAGATGATACATTGAGACACAATTGGAACCCTTTTCCCACTTTTGAATAAGCCACTGAAGATGGGAGTCCAGGGGTTGCCAGCTGCCTAGTTAGACTATCCTAAGTGCCAGAGCTGGGATAATAAAGGAAATGGGTAGTTGTGCCTTCTATTTTCTTTTTGTCTTTTTCTACTGAGTCTAAATAATAGTCATCTTTTCTTCAAGATGTTTATATTGAAGGCTTTATTTGATTAGACAATAAGAGTGAGTTAGGAAGAATTAATATGAAATATTTTCCGCTGTCCTTAAATCTAATCCAGGATCTCCTAGAAAGAGGGGCATACTTATGTTCTGGAATACTTGAGGCTTGAAATTCCAAACCCAGAATGTCTGAGGTGAAATTCACTAAAACAATCGGTGTACTTTTAAAATATTCTTCAGGGTCTCAGCCAATTTGTAAAAAATAATTCAAAGAAACCTAGAGTCATTCATTGATGCAATTTATTATCCTCTCCTCCTTCTTAGCATTCCAGGTTTTCTGCCTCCCAGTATCCAAGACTGGGAGCTGGTTGAGGTCCCACGCCGCCACAGAGCTTTCAACAGTAGAACAGGAGCACGGCTGCCTCAGTTATCTCCTGGCTACAGCTGTAGCCTCTATGAGTTCCATATCCATCCCAATCAAAGGAAGAGAAATCCCCGCACTGCCTGGGATTGCCCTCTAGGAAGAATCCTTCTCCTCCGATGCAGTGCTGGGAAACAAGGAGAGGAGCAGACACAATGAGGTGACACCAGCAAGCTCTTAATGGTCAAATCCCCTGAAATCTTTGATCCTCGTCCTACTTGGCTTTGCTGCATGCTTCCATGGTGTTGCCCCCTCAATCCCTTAAAACTCTCCCCTCCAGTGAATTCTGAAGTAAATAATGCTCTCTCTCCTGGCTTCCTTTCTACCTTACTTAGCATTCATTCTCAGGATCCTCTACTGGCCTCTCTTCCTCTGTCCATCCCGAATGCTAGTCATCATGTCCACACCTCACTCTCCCGTTATGGCTCATCTTCTCCCATGACTTTAACTGTTATCAGTATACTGATGACTCCCAAATTTCTGACCCTTGCTCAGATTTTCTTATGCTTGAGACATCCATCTCCAACAGCCACCTGGATGTCTCTACCTACATATCTCTAGTACCTCAAACTCCACTTGAGCAAAACAATAAGATCTCTTTTTGACCCTAAATCTGTTCTTCATCCTGTCACCCTATCTTAATTAATTGATAGCACTCAGTCATCCAAAACAAAAACCTAAAGTCATTTTAGTCTTCTTCACTTCCTAACTCCCGTAATCATCTGGTCATCAAGAACTGTTGGTTCCATATCACCTATGCATCTCTGGAATCCATCCATGCTCATCCATCCCTATCAAGAATGCCCTAGTTCAGGTCCTTAGTATTTCACATCCAGACATTTACACCTGCCTCATAACTGAACCTCGTGTCACTAATTTTCCTGCTCTTGAATCCAGGTCCTCCATACTGCTTCCAGAGTACTCTTTATCAAACCAGAGTTGATCAGGTAACTGTTGTGTTCAAAATTCTCTAACGATTCCCATCACCCACAGTACAAACTCCAAATCTATGACATAATACAAAAGTCTCTCCTTGCCCTGGCTCCTGTAGATATTTCCAGAATCAGCTCCTTCCTCTATCCAACATATACCCTATGCTCCAAAATTACAAAACAGCTTACTGCTGTCTCAAACACCAAGGGTTTTGAACATGCTCCTCACTTGTGCTAAAATGCACTATTCTGTCCCTTGCTAAGGAGCCCTGGTGGTACAATGGTTAAACGCTCGGCTGCTAACAGAAAGTTGGCAGTTCAAACCCACCTAGCAGCTCCATGGGAGAAAGACCTGACGATCTGCTCCTGTAAAGATTACAGCCTAGAAAACCCTATAGAGCAGTTCTACTCTGTCACATGGGGTTACTATGAATTGAAATCAACTCCACGGCAACTAACAACAACAACATCCCTTGCTACTTGTTGAACTCTATACATCTTTTGAGATTCAGCACAAATGTCACCTTCCCTGGAGAATCAACCATGTGCTACTAGCGGAGTTAGAAGATCCTCTATCGTGTTCCCAGAGCCCTTTGTTGATGTTTCTATTATAGTTTATATCACATGGGATTGCAATTATGCATTTACATCTCCACTCCACTCAATCTGAGCTCCTTAAGGAAAAAGACTATGTCTAACACTCAGCACATAGTAGGTGCACATATTTTTTAAGGAAAAATCAATGCATGCAGGCATAGATGCAAACATGCACTAATGAAAAGCGTAAGGGGCCATGGAAGCCAGTGTAGGAAATGGTTATCAAGGCACAGAGTGCAGACACACTCACCCCATTGCCTATATTCCTATCATTCTCTGAATCATGGTCTATGAGGTCCTTACACATCCTGGCAAAAATGGACAAACTGGTGGCTGAGGGGGAAGTGAAGATGGGGCTGTGACTTCAGGGTCACTTTCCAGGAACCAAGGCCCATTTCTCGGCCTATTAGTTGGTGGAGGGGAGAGGCTCCTGAGTGAATGCCCTCATTCTTGGTGGCTCTGATTCCCTCCTGCCCCCAGCCACAAGACGTCCCTCAAAGATAGTCTCTCCCCTACAAGACTGGGAAGAAAAACATAGACCTTCTAGAAGTTAATACTAATATTGGAGAATATCTGCATGACCTCAACACAGGGAAATACTTTTTAAACAAAACACAAATGTACTAACCATAAATGAAATATCGATAAATTGGTCTCCAGTAAAATAAACTATATCCAGGAGACACCAACAAGAGAGTAAAAAGGCAAACCACAAAGACCCACATCAGCACGCCCCACCCAGATACACACACACCCTTGATCTCCCTGAAGACTCACATGCTCAGTGTTGCAGCCAGTGACTCTGATCCCAGGACACAGGGCGTTGGCTGCTCTCTCATTATTAAACACCCTGAAAAGGATAAATCCTGCAAAAATTCTCCTGGAAAAGAAAAGGCAGAGAAAAGACTGAAATATTCAAAGGAGGAACTAGAAAGAGCTTCCCTTTGACCAGCCCAAGGATTCCCTACACCAAAAGCTCAGGCTACAGCCCTGCGCTCTAGTCTGTGGGGTGGAGCCCAGCTCATCTGTGACCAGTGGCTGGGGGACATGGCCAGGAAGGAGCCTCTCCCCACCTCTAAAGGCTACAGAGGACAAAGGCTGGGCCTCACAACAGGACCCTTGTCTGCCTATGGCTTAAAGGGGAAATTAAACTTCATAGAAAGATCATCAAGAAGACCTCAAAAGGTAGAGCAGGAATAAACAATTACCAAATGTGGCAATGTGTTTCTGTTTATATGTTTCTTATCCAATTACATCTGTTTGTTTTCTCTACAATCACCTGCTTTCATTGAAATATTAAATGCAAATAGTAATGGCTTTGATTTTCCCATCAAAGACTTCACTTCGGTGGATTTATTGTACTAAAAAATGTAGTCTTTTTTAAGATGATTAACAGCTATCCTTTGTAATAAAAATAATTTTTCTCACCACTTTGCTAGTTGTCCTTTCCTGTAAACAAATAAACAAAGCCTGCACCTTTTCTTAACTACTATAAGAAGACACACAGTGTGGTTAAGAGTAGAGGCTCTGGGGTCAATGCCTGAGTTCATACCCTAGCTCTGCTGCTTATACACCATGTGGCTCTCAGCAAGTCCCCTAATCTCTCAGTGTTCAGTCTCCCAATCAGTAAAATGGGGACAATAGTCATTCTAACATCATAGGTTTCTCATGATGATTAAATGACACAAAACCACATCAAGGTCCTAGGAAAGAGGTTGGCACGTTTGAAATGCTCAGTAAATGTTAGCAATTATTACTGTTGTTATTTGCCATCCTTTCCCCAAGAGTACAGAGACGAGTTGATGACTGGGCTTAGGGAGCAAACACTTACCCAGACCATACGGCGAGTAATAAGATGTTGTTTTCTGAGCATCACCAAAGTCATAGACCACAGGTATCACCAGGCCGTTGTCAGTCCAACACTTCCCTGATCCTTATTTCACTGGGTATCACCCAAATTGGAGGTTGTGTGAGGACAGCAGAGAGGCTGCCATAATCAGGTATGGAGGGGAGGGTGGCTCCAGTCAAGCTAGCTGTCATTATTCAGAAACCAATTTTATTAAGAGTGACTGCTTTCCCCACGGCTGTTTTTCCAGCAGTAGCAAGGCCCCTGTTCTTCTCCCTCTCTCCCCCATCCTTGTCTCCCATAGAGCTGGTTCAAAGTTCCTCAGAAAGAGGTAGGACAAGAGTTAGTGGTGAACTAGAGGCAGGAGAAACAGCCAAGTACAGGTAGCTGGTAGTGACGTGGGACCACAGAAAGCAGACTCACTCCCCACCCCAAACACTTTACTCTCTGGTCACCAAACAAACTGCCCCCCACCCTGTGTACCTGGTAGAGGCCAAACAGATTATGTCCCAGACTCCGGAAGAAGCCACTGTTAGTGCGGTACCTCAGCAGGGAGTTGTTCCTCCAAAGCATCAGTGGGGACTTGTTGGGCACATGCCAGATGCCCAGGTCCTGTGCCTGGATGTCATAGTATCCGGGGTTCTGGAGAGCGACAGACACCAATCCTCACCAACTAGGAGGTCGCATGAAACAAAGGACCCAGCACACAAGCAGCCCTCAGTTGTGCTGAGAGCACTGGGATCCAGGCAACTAGATCGCCGGCAGTGCTCAGATGCCACCTTCCAGCAGATGATGATGCCTCACCATCACCTGCACCCCTAAAAAGCTGTTTGGAAGAAGCTGGGGTTCAAGGCATGTAAGCACTTCTTTCTTCTTCTCCAGCCCAAGCTCCACATCCCCATCTTCCAACCTCCCTTCTACATGCTGTACTCTAGTCACACTCAACCCCCCTCACCATTTCCCAAGTGGGTAGTGAGTGGCACCTACCTTGTAGTCATCGCTCGTGGCCGCCTCTGCAGACCCAAAGGTGTTGTAATTGGCCCAGTTGCCATCCCCCTCTGGGTAGTCTGCTTTGTTGCCCTGCTGACTGGACCAGCGATCTCCCACCGTGCATTTCCCATGCATGTTGTTCTCGTGCACGCTGGCCACCAGGGTCCAGCCACCACCCCCAGAGGTCATGTCACAGAAGGTCTGGTAGATGACACCTTTCTTAGTGCAGAGGAAATACAGGCCATCTGTGAAGGGAACAACCCAGAGCCTCCCTGTCTGAGAGCACATGGTCCATCTCAGGCCCCATAACCAGAAAGGCTCTGGGAAATTGAGAGTATACCCTGAAGGCTCCCACACACACTCACCTGTTGGAAGATAATTCTCCTCAGGTCTCCATCGTTTCTGCTCATCTTATGAGCAGAGGTACTGACTGTCTTTGTTCAACACTCCCTTATCATAGATGTTTGTATAGCAAACAACCTTAGAAGATAGAGATAGTGTCTCCCTCTGGGTAGTAGATCCCTCTGGCTAGGAGAGGCCAGAAATCAGCACCCATCCACATGTCCAGTCTCCAGTCTAGAGATGGAGAACTCTGTGCATCTCTGAGCAAAGAGCAGGCATGGTTACTTCCCATTATAACAGAGTCAGATTCCCTGAGCTCAGAGTTCCTCGTCTGCAACACTACCCTGTAGGACAAGGCCTCCACCATGGTACTTTGGTGATCTTGCATGTCTCTGTGTAGGCCACATAGGCAAGGCTTAGCCACAGCTACCCTAAGCCTTGACAAAATGCATGTGATCCTCCCAAATGTGGGAGCATGGGAAGCTTGTGGAGAGCTGCTCCAAGGTCATTTCTCATCCACAGCCCTATCTTCCAGGACAGCTCTCATGAGACAGCTCCTCATCACCTGCAGCTTCTGAGGAGGCATGAGGCCTCAGCCCCCACCCCACTACAGTACAGCTGCAGGCTATGAAACTGCTTAGCTGCAGCATGGACTGGCTCCTTAGCAACAAAGCACCCCAACACCTGTGTTGTGTTTTCATTTGGCCCTTTTATTTGTGTCATCCTGTGTCTTAGTCATCTAGTGCTGCTGTAACAAAAATACCCGAAGTGGATGGCTTTAACGAAGAGAAGTTTATTTCCTCACAGTCAAAGTAGGCTAAAAGTCCAAATTCAGGGCGTCAGCTCCAGGGGAAGGCTTTCTCTCTCTGTCGGCCTTCTCATCAGTGTTCCCCCGGACTAGGAGCTTCTTGGCGCAGGGACCCCAGTCCAAAGGACACGCTCTGCTCCCAGCACTGCTTTCTTGATGGTACGAGGTGCCCCTGTCTCACTGCTCACTTCCGTCTTTTATATCTCAAGAGATTCCCTCAGGACACAATCCAGTCTTATAGATCAAGTCCTGCCTTACTAACACAACTGCCACCCATCCTCCCTCATTAACATCATAGAGGCAGGATTTACAACACATAGGAAAATCACACAGTACGAGGAATCATGGCCCAGCCAAACTGATATACACATTTTCTGGGGGACATAATTCAAACCATGACATCCTGTGAGACAAGAAATGCGGGAAGCTAATACTTTGCTGATCTTGACTTTGTTGTCTATGTGAAACTGTCTGAATCTAAAAATGGCTTGTTGTTTCTTTACCAACCATATTTGTCAGCCTGCCTGACAAACCCACTACATGTGCAGATGTACCTGGCCGTCTTTGCATCATCACCCTGTAGGAATTTGAACTCAAAGGACCGGCACAAGAAAAGGCTGATACTTGCGCTACTGCTAGTGCTGTGAATCATAATGTTCTTTGTCTCTGACTCAGGAGTCTCGTGTTTTCTGCCAGCATCCATAAAAGTGTGACAGGCTGATTAATTGCTAGCTTACAGGTAGAGTAAAATCTCAAACCCTTCACAGTTCTTGCCACCACCCTACGTGTCACTAGGAACACTGCATTCTCCCTGTGTCCAGAATATCATGTCTGATGTGACTTGGGTGGGACACAAAAGCCCCAAAATTCCCACTGGAAACTTCTTTTGGTGGGAGCCGGAGTCAGACAGGCAGTAGGGGTGGGTACAAATCTCCTGATTTCCATGACTGGGTTCTGTTTAGCTAACAAGTGGCTTCAGGGAGTGAATGCTGGAATTGTTTCATTACTCACCACCTGTTCTAGGGTGTCTTTCTTTGATTTCATTGCAGCTTCTAGGCAGGGAATGGAGGGCAGAAGCACAGGATTTGTTTTCCTGGAACATCTCAGGAGGTTGAGTCACTGCCAGATGATGTGATAATACTTCTCATTAATAGTCTGGAGCTGCTGACATCATCTTTTTTGTCCACCAGTTCCCAGCCCCTGCCCACTGCAGCAGTTCCTGTTTATGATGTGAGACCCAAAGAGGTCAGGGATTCTCTCTGCTAAGCCTGTCTGGTCCAAGATCTAGTACAAGTTTCACACCTGAATTCTTCCAGTCAACTAACTTTAATTAAATTCCTGCTATGTGCACCACACAAACATTGGGCATTCAAAGACAATTCGACACATTTCTTCAAGAGATAACTTTCTAGAGGGAAGAAGCACGTGCAAAAGACACCCAGGTGAGAATGGGTGGGGAGAGGCTCACTGAGGGGGCAGAGATAGGGAAGTTTTTGGGGAAGGGGACAGATGTAATTCAGAGAAGGTTGATTCTGATAGGATGAATAGGAGTTGGCTATAAGACAGAGGGGAAGGGAAGAGAATGCTCCAGGAAGGGGGAGCACATAAAATGGCATGAAGGGATAGCAGAGCATGGTCCAGCCTGCTGAAAACCTACAGGTCAGTCACGCACTGTGACCAGAGCCTATGTTGTAATGCAGGGAGTGGTGAAAACCAAAGCTGAGAAATTAACTGAGGCCCTCCGGAGGGTGAAGGGCCTTGTATATTAGTCTAAAAGCCTAGGAATTATTCTGAAAGCCTGGCCAAGTGGGGGAAAAAAACGTAAGCTTTGAGTTAAAAGATTAAGTTACAATCCCAGTCAACCCATGATGGCAGAGTTCCCTTGGGAAGACCCTTAACATTTCTCATCCCCCCTTTCTTCATCTTTTAAATGTCACTAATAAACTCTTCTTACCCCTGGAGATCAAATGAGATGATATATGTGAATGTGCTTTTTAATTAATTCATTAAAATAAATAGTAGAACTCAGTAACAACGAAAACTGTCAATGCTGTGCCGATTATGAAGAATGGAATTGTGCTGCTAGACGCTAGTGGAGAATGTTCCCTGAACACATCATTGACCACACAGCTCCCTCTGAAGAACCTCAGGCCAAGACCACAGGAGCAGGAGTGCCTGGCAGGGGACACAATCCTTACTATCCATCCCTGAGCCCCCTCACAGCCACACAGGCACAGAGTGGGGGCCCCAGGACATGCCTCAGCCAATACCATAACTGCAGTGAGACCAGCCCCCAAGAGAGGCCAGAAATCGGCACCCAGTCAGCATCTTATGTCTGCTGCCAAGTGTGGTCTCTGTGCATCTCAGTAACTCCTCTTCTGGTTCAGAAGTACAGAGCAACCCAGCCCAGCACTATTCCTTCCCGTCCACTGAACACCAGCTGTGAGCTGAAGGAACTGCAGCTCCTATGAGAGATTTACCTGCACTGCACCCTCTGGTGGCCACCACGAGGAACAGCAGGAAGAAGAGTCTGAAAACAAGTTGCACAAGATCACTGACTGGACCATCATTCCTCTTCCTCTCACCTTTATTGCCTAAGTTTTCTGAATCAGGAAACCTCAAATGGGAAGTTATGGGGTTCTGGACATTCTAGAACCTCCCAGAAGAGCCTCCACCCCTATCCAGCTCTGCAAATGGGCTTCTTTCCCTGAAAGTCCCAATCCCTGAGACTAAGACCAGACCTGAGCTGATGTTAGGGCTCCCTCCACACACAGAGCTTGTCTCAGACTCAGAAACCTCGTCCTTACCGAGCACAGAAATCTCCCTCGTTCCCTCTCACAGATCCGGGAGCTGCCAGATGGGGACTCAGCACCTCTTCAGAGGGTCCTAATGTGGGGTGAAATGCTGAGCCCTTTATAGGGAGAGGGTAAGCCCAGCCCAGCCCAGGCTGCCAGCCCTTCCTTCTGACATCCTTCCCTTCGAGCTTACCTGAGAAGGAGAAGGGATATGTGAATGGCTGGAGGAGCAGGGGGCTGTTGTCTTGGTCACCCAGGTGACAGTCACCACCTGAGGAGAGGTGAATCATGCTTTGTCAGAGTGTGTTTCATGCATAAGCAGGATAGGCAGTTACCTACACAGTATTATATCACATAATCAGACTCTCAGGATAAGTCAGACCTTACGGTGCTTCCCTGCATTCTACCCCTTCCCACCCACCATCAGATGCTCTGGGACCCCAGGCACGACTGTCAAGGCTGTCAAGGCATAATCCTTACGGAGTTTCTCCTTAAACTTCTCTGCGAAGACTTCCCTAATAGATTCCGCATCCCTAGGCAAAGCTGATGGCTTCCTCCTTTGTCCAAACAGCAATTATTGCACGTATCTCACTGTAATTTCATTGTTAACTTTTTGTTTAGAGATAATTGAAAACTTACAAAACATTGCAAACATATAAAAATAGTACCAAAAAACAGTGTATACTCTTTACCTGTATTCACCTATTGTCCATATTTTATCCCATCTGCTTCATCATTTATTCTCTCTCTCTCTCCATCTCACATACTTTGCACATGTTATCAGGAGGGACCAGTCCCCGGAGAAGGACATCATGTTTGGTAAAGTATAAGGTCAGTGAAAAAGAGGAAGACCTTCAACGAGATGGATTGACACAGTGGCTACAACAATGGGCTCAGGGTAACTACAATCATGAGGATGGCGCAGGACCGGCCAGTGTTTCGTTCTGTTGTATGTAGGGTCACTATAAGTCAGAACCAACTTGACAGCACCTTACAACAACAAATATATACACATATAAATTTTTTCTGAACCATTTGAGGGTAAATTACATACATCATGGCCCTTCACCCCTAAATACTTCAGTGTATATTTTTTAGTAATAGGGATAACCCATTGCCATCGAGTCAACTCCATATAAATTTTTCTAATCTGATTTTTCAATATCTCTGGAGTTAACCTTCATACATGATGTGAGGCAAAAATTGAAACTGACTTTTGTCGGTTCGCAAATTTTTGTTCCTTGGCATTATTTATGGAATGTTTTCTATCCCAATAATACCTTCATTGAGCATTAAATGGGTTCTTATTTAGGGTCAAATATTGCGCTCGTACTATGCTGTTTAACAAATGAAATCCTAACACACGTTACGATAAGGATAAATCTTTAAAATATTATCCTGAGTGAAATACATCAATCACAAACAACAAACATTGTATGATCCCACTTATACGAAATAGGCAAATGTATGGAGACCAAAGTTTATTAGTGGTTAGCAAGGGTGGGAGGGAGGGGGAAAGGAGGAGGCTTAGCTTAGGGGGCACTGAGTTTCTGTTAATGGTGGTG